TTTCTTTTCAATTTTTTTAAACATATGAATTAATAATTATAACCTGTTTATTAATATATAAAGCATGCAACTATATTTTAAAAATTGATCTTTTCAGACTGTATTATTTAAATTTCTATTTGATTTAATATCATTTTCAACAATAGACTAATTGCTAAAATAAAATCTATTACTCAGTTTGAAGAATGTTTAAACACGTACAGCTCTAGTTCAACGAAGTTCGATTTGTTTTGGTTGTACCAATATGGCGCCGCGGTTGCGGTTAAGGCTTCACGAGTTTACGGGCATGCCGTCTCCTCCTATTTATTACTCTATGGTTGTGATATGAGATTGCCTTGTATATTGATAAATTTATCATCTAGTCAAAATGGGAAGAAACTGCTACAGAGGTCATCAAAAGAATTATTCACCAATTTATAATAAAAGGCTTACATGACCTGTGGCAGAATTTTTTAAAGCTATCTCTCTAGCATTAATATCTTCCTGCAAGTTACCTACTTTCAGTAATAATGTATGTTTCAGATTTAAAAGTGCTGTGTTTACAAAAAAAATAAATTATTTTTTTAATTCAACATATAATTTTTTATTCTAACATTCTCATATTTTTTTGGGAGGTGTTATTTTCTTCTATGCATTCTGTCATGACAATAAAAAATAAATTAAAAATCATGAAATCCTTATTAGTAATTGCTGAAAAAAAGAGCGGAGACGAAATCATGTGAATTGAACTCCTCAAATGCGCGTTTTTTGTTTTGAGATTGTATAAAAAATATAGGATAAAAAAAAAGCGGAGACGAAATCATGTGAATTGAACTCCTCAAATGCGCGTTTTTTTGTTTTGAGATTGTATAAAAAATATAGGATATAAAAATTACGGAGAAAACATTAGCAATCACTGCCAAAAATTGGATAAAATTATTGGCTTAAAAAGAAAAAACTCAAATGCACAATTCGAATTTTCCATATTGTTTGAAAAGGGATATTTAAAATCCATGCATAAATCAATACATCGGGATATTACATCGATTTACGTCTCGGGATATTTAAAATCCATGCATAAATCAATACAATCAAAATATAACATTGATTTACGAGATTATCGTCATAAATTATGCCTGCCGAAAAGTAATTAGCTAAATGCATGATTCAAATATTGCTTGCAAATTTCTATAGAAAAGAAATTTTTTTTTTACGTTTCGAAAGAAAAGTCTTTCTGCAAGAACCGAGTAACATTCGACGACAATGTCACCCTGTCGCTGCGATTCTGCCTCACATTTATGGAATAAAACTGTAAATAAGCCTTTTTTAATTGTGTAGGTCTAAATTTTTTCTAGGAAGTAATCTTTTTAACTAAAAAAATAAGTAAAATGACTTTATATTTTATAAATCAATAAATAAGAAAATTAAAATTAATCAATAAATGTATACATGTGCAAATAGAGTGCAAAATACACAAGAAAAAGTTTCCACCTATTTACGAGGACTTAAAATATAGGGGTAGCTTCGATCTGGGAAGTTTGGTCAGGAAATCGCTCCAAAGCAAAATTAGCATCTAGGGGACCAAACTATTAGGACTATATTTCCCAGATTGTGGCTCTACATTTATACATTTTAAGTCAGAAATCTAAATCCATCTAAAAAAGGTATGTTTATTTGGACAAAGTACTTTTTGAGTCTGATTTTGTAAATTAAAATATCGTCGGTGCTAATTAATTTGCATATTTGAGGTCACCTGCTCGAACCATTAAGATTAAGTCCTGGAGATCCAGTCATTAGATCAAAAGTTATTCAGGGTAGTATGTACTATTCTGGGTAGTATGTATGAACTAAATAAAAAATGTATCTACCCATTATTATTAACACAAAATCTCCTTCCTTTAGCATAACTATCAGATGACTGTGATATCTAGCAAAATTAATCTTTTTCACATTTCTCTTTTATATAATAAATAAATTGACATTTAAAGATTTTATAACAGGGTGCGTAGGCCAAATCTTTCAACAAAAAATAAGCACCTTTTAAGTATTTTTTAAGCACTCAAAAATATTTTTAAGCACTATATACATTAACAAAATGCAAAAATTTTTTCAAAAACTTCAGATGATCATGATAAAATAACTAATTTCTGACAAAGAACTCTTTTCTTGATTATATTACCCGTTATAAAATGATCGAGAGATTTTTCGGTTTGATATGAGAGGGTGGAAAGTGAAGTCTGAAATTGAGAATACTTTGCAAAATGCAGAGTTGCACATGAGAAGGCAATAATCTCACCGAACCCAGGTCAGTAGACGCACATTTGGACTCGCAAGTATTTCATCAAACATGTAAAATGATTGGCGTTTTCATACGCTATGGGTAGATGGTACGCCGAAATGAATTTTGAAAACAATGAATAGAACAATGTGAAAAAGCACGCTTTTACATAATATGTGGCGAAAATCGACATGGTAGCGAAAAAAAATCTCATCTCTGAAAAGGGAAAATTAAGCACTTTTTAAAAACACACAATGAAAAAAGCACCTTTAAGGGCTTTTAAATAACGAAAATAAGCACTTTTTAAAAAGGCTACGCACCATGTGTAATTACTACTATGACACTTAATTATTACACTTTTTAGTGTTCTAAAAAATAAACTTGATACAATAAATTAACTTTTAATGAAAACAATATTTTACAAAAAAAAAAAACTTTTGAAGAAAATCCTATTAAAATACGAAAAAAAAATTATTACAATAAAAGAACTTTTATAGGCACCAATGTGTATTAAAATGAATTAACACTTACTTTTCCACATACAACACAAATTTTTCCTTTCTTTTTCTTTGTTGAGTCATCTTTTTTCTTCACTACATCTGTTGTTTCTATATCTGTAGTTTCAATTGAATTTTTAGCTATAAAAATTAATTCACATTTATAGGTTGGCATGAATTAAAGTTGTTTAACATAGTTTTAAAGTAGTGTATTAGTAATATATAATAATTACAAACTTATTATTCTGAGAGATAGAACTAGGTGCGCAGCTAAATTTTTCAAGAAAAAAAAAGTACATTTGAAGCACTTTTCAAGCACTCAAAAAGTATTTTTAAGCACTTTTAAAAAATATCATAATTAAGCAGGGTTGGCAAACTTTTGACACTTGAAGGTTTTAACCATTATGTCAAGAAAAACCTTTTGACAATTTTTTTTAAAATTGCCAAAAAACACAAATTTTGGCCTAAGGATAATTATTACCTATTATAAATATGAGGTAATTCTAAATTAACATATAATGTAAAATTACAATTGTTCCAACAATTATGTTCCTGAATTATTTTAACATTAAACTGTTTTTGTTTTGAAAATTGTTAAAAATCCTAATTTTGTTGTAGAAAATTTTAAATAAAAATTGGAGATAAAAATACAAAAACATTTATCTTATATATATATATACGGGATGTTTATAAAGCCCCGGACTCATTTTGATGTTTAATAACTCATAAGATAATAAAGATAGATCAAAATTAATAAATGGTTAGATAGACTCAAAAAGTTTCAGGACCCTTGTCAATGAACTTACACGTGTGCCCCTTTCGTCACACGGAGAATATCAAGTCGATAGTCAATTTCACAACAGTTAGCGGCAAGCAAGTCGGCATCCACAGAGGCTATTGCGGTTGTAATTCTGGCTCTTAGATCATCAATGTTCGACACGATACTCCTGTAAACACTGTCCTATATAAATCCTCAAAGAAAAAAGTCCAGTGGCGTTATATCAGGTGATCTGGGTGGCCAAGGAATTGAACCTCCTCGCCCAATCCATCTTCCTGGAAAATGGTCATTCAAAGAACTACGAACGATGATACCCCAATGAGGTGGTGCACCAACTTGTTGCAAAAAGACATGTGGCTGAAGCACTTCTAGTTGTGGAAATACGAAGTTTTCCAACATGTCTAAGTATACGATGATGAGACCGTCTTTTCTGTAAAAAAGGCCCAATGACTCAGTTGTGCATTAGTCCACACCACACATTAACCTTTGGGGAATCCCTTTGTGTCTCATGTGGGTTTTCAGATACCCATATGTGTACATTATAGTGATTAACAATGCCAGAAACATGAAAGCTTGCCGCTACCTGCCATGAAATTGACTATCAATTTGATATTCTCCGTGCGACGAAGGGTGCACACGCGAAAGTTCATTGACAAGGGTCATGAAACTTTTTGAGTCAATCCAACCATTTATGTTATTAATTTCAATCTATCTTTATTATTTTATTAGTTATTAAACATCAAAATGGGTCAAGGACTTTATAAACACCCTGTATATGCATATATATATATATATATAAAACGCTTAACAATCATCTTATTCTTTAAACGCAAAATCAGTTCTCATTTACTTCTCTGTTCTCCAAGTTCATTTTTCAGCTTTGTATGAATAAGACCGGAATTTCAAACTGTTCTTGCAATGTAAACAATGTCTTTTTGCATAATTTATGCCGATAATCAACATGAAAAATAAAAAAATCTTATTTTGGAAGAGGAAAAGCTTTACGCATACTGTAGACGAAATTAATCAAGGCCCATTTCGTCTCCTCAACTATTTAATTTATGCATTATATGATTAAGAAAAAGAAGGAAAAAAAATAGATATTTGTATATCAAGACTTTTCTTTTTACAATAAATTACATTAAAACCTTTGATAAAGAAAAATTTTGTTCAATAAATAAATTTTTAAAATCTGTCACGCATATCTCATTCAGGTAATATTCACAAATTAATTAACAGTTTTATACATAATTTTTTTTTTAAAAAAACCTTTTCTGAGATTCACGTAATCACCAAGTTCAATTGACATTAAGCATCACGTTTTAAGACAAGTTTCATAAAAAAAGAAGAAAAATTTTTTGTTGGAAAACAATGAAAAGTTATACTTGATGAATAATAGAGTGTTGTTATATATTGACAATTGATTGCATAAAACTGTGAAGTCTAGGTCATAAAATTGTAATTCATGTAATAAAATTGGTGCAAGCCATGTAGACAATCTAATTTATTTTTAAACAGGTACAAGTCACACATTGTACCTTTTTTTTCATAAAACGTGGATAACTTTTTACAGGGTTGCTACTCAAATCTCTAGAAAAAATTCCCTGTACATATTATACAGAATATATATAGAGAAAAAACACAATCACTTTCGTATGAGCAACTATAGGCATTTGTATTTGTTAGGCAAACTATACTAGTAATAATTGCTGAAAAAACTTTAGGAAGGAACAGCCGAACATACTATATTATATATATATATATAACACATATATACATATATATGTGTATATATATATATATAAATGCACCAAAAATAAAGCAATGCCTATACAAAAGAAATTTTTAACTCTTCCCCTCAAAAAAAGAGGGAAGGAAACAGAGGAGAGTTGGAGAATTTCAGGTATCTTTTATAATAAAGTAACTAAGTATATTTAAAAAAAAAACATAAGGTATTTATTTTTTTCTGAATAAAAGCTTTGATATTAAGCACATAGAATCATATTGGTATTTTACGTGAGGCATCTTTTCCAGTATCATCTTTGTCAGGATACTTCACAGCATCTTCCCCCATAACATCATTTTCCTTCACCTGTTCCTAAATTCAAAACAAAATATTTCTCATAAGACAACAATTGTAACAAAAATAAACAAATAATGCGCATAAATAAATAAAAAAGAAACAGGAAAAAGAATATATATAAAAAAGAGAAAGAACATAGAAATAAATAAAAGAGAGACAGGAAGTCATTTTGACTGCTTTTTAATTTCAATTAGAAAAACAATGATGTATACAATTTCTTAGCATTTTGTGACTTATATAATTATTTTTACTTTTGATATTTACTAATAACTTGTTATATAACTGAAAATAATATCAGAAATAAATTTTAAACAAATTTCTTTATACATTAGTCATTCTTTCACAATGCAGTCATTTTGACTGCTTTTAGGCAATATAGGTATTTCAGTCTGTCTAGTGTTAAGTACTTTTTAAGCACTATATACATTAACAAAATGCAAAATAATTTTCAAAGACTTTACATGATCCTGATAAAATAACTAGTTTCTGACAAAGAACTCTTTTTCTCAATTACATTTGCCACCATAAAAAGATAGAGAGATTTTTCGGCTCGATATCAGAGGGTGGAAAGTGAAGAAAATAAGTGAAACTATCTTGCACACAAGAGTGTAATAATCTCACCGAACCCTGCTCAGTAGAGGCACATATGGACTCGCAAGTATTGCATCAAACATGTAAAATGATTAGCGCTTTTATATGGTGTGGAGCGACGATACACCGAATTCGAAATAGATTGTGGCCGAATGAATTGTGAAAACGTTGAATAGAACAATGTGAAAAGCACGCTCTTGCGTAATACATGGCGAAAATCGACACGGTGAAGAAAAAAATTTATTTCTAGAAATGGGAAAATGAAGCACTTTTTAAAAACACCTAATGAAAAAACCACCTTTAAGGGTTCGTAAAAATCGAGAATAAGGTTAAGCACCCTTAAGCACTTTTTAAAAATGCTATGCACCATGATAAAGAACAAGATCATACAATGTTCTGAAAATTTCTACAAGTAAAAATGATACGGAGTTAAAGTTAAAAATATTGCTGAAAAGGAAAGCATAAAAAGTATATTAAAAAATTTGTCCATAAAATAAAGACTTTTGCTTAGCATAATAAACATAAATGTATATATTTGAGACTGCACTTTTTCAGTGAACAACGTTGTTTGATTTTCCTAGATTTAATGAGAAAAATATTTTTTGTAGCATAAAATAATAAAAACACACAACACATTATTAATCATTTATATAATAAAGTTGTTTCTCAATATAATTACTTTAAATAAGTTTTAAAATTTTTTAAGAAGAAGTCTGATACAAATCATTATACTGGATATTTAAGTCACGTGAACACAAATCAAGATGCAAGATTTTTTAATCACGTGAATAGGATTTACGACGGGTAACACTTAAATCTGGTAAATAGTAAAATCGATGTTAAAATCGCAAAAGTTTAAACCTGGATATTAGCGGATTCTGGAGCAGTTTCAAGTACATTAAAAACGACGGACAAAAAAAAAAAAAAAACATTTCACAACTGCAGATGTACAGAAGAATTCACGTGTACGAAAGCATCTCGTTCATGCGATTTAGTGAAGGTTTCGAAATTTTAATAGTAAAATTTAATTCTCACTTTAAATTTTAGATTGTGGTGAAAATTTTGTTGGATTATAAGTTTTAATTCCAGGAAGTCCGCTGATCAATGATCTCGAGATACACGTAATTCTCATAGACCTGGAGAAATAAAACAGAAATCAATACAATCACCCCTGACTTTGTTCTTTCTTAAATTAAAAGGTTTTCAGATAATCTTTTTTTTTTTTTCAATACATACCATAGAACTAGAGGGTTCAGATTTCTTTTCTTCTTGCAGTTCAGTTTCTTGTTGCATATCAGACTCAGTTTTACAGTTCTCTTCAGTTTTGTTCACTGCTTCATTTGATTCATTAGACACTGAATCATTTATTTTGACAGAATCTTCAATTTTTGAAGAATCATTTGAGTTGCTCTTTGGAGAGTCAATATGATTTTCATAAGAATTCTGTTTTTCAGTGTCATTGTGGTTTGTTTCTAAATGAGTAGAATCATCAAGAACATGGTCTTTCTTAGTAGTATCATTCGACTGTATATCACTCGCGTCTCCATTATTTTCACTAGTAACGTCGTCGGAATGTTTGGCATTTTGTTTCGAAGAACCATCGTCTTTAAATGAAGCCTCGATAATTCCATTATTGTCTTTCGATGATGGGTCTTTCAAGGATGTGACTTCCACAATTTCCATCACTTCATCCATCCTTTTTTCTGATCTGACAATATCCTTTACTTATCTTCAACTAAAAAGAAAAATAATAATAATAATCACTTAATAAATAAAACAACTCTTTCAGGGTAATTTGCATAAATAAAAATATAGAGTGACAATTTCGTTTACTTCGGTTTTGTAATTAACAACAGGAACAATACTACAATGGAAATACAAAGAACAATTACTATATCCAATAATTGTTTTAAAGAAATTCGAAAATACATAAAATCTAATGTAGCTCATAGAAAAACAAGTTTTATTATATAAATCTCTTTTAAGATCAATTTTAACATTTGCTTGTGACCCTATCTTGTACGGATGAGGCTATGTTGGGTACCTTTGAGAGAAAGGTCTTGAGAAGTATTTATGGAGGAATTCAAAAAATTGGTGTGAGGTATAGAAGATTAAAGCTTTATCACTCATATACATTAATTTTACCGGACATTATTAACTTTATAAAACAACAAAGAAAATGGGCAGGTAACATTATCAGAATGGACGAAGGCCGTGCCACAAAAAGAGTTTTCAATGCCAGACCAGTTGGCACACAAAAAAGAAGGCCGAATTTGAGATGGATAGATGGCCTAGAAAAAACCTTTTGGTCTCAAAAACTGGAAAACACTAGCAGGAAAAAGGTTAGCATGAAAAAAACTTTTTGAGAATGCCAAGGACCACCCTGGGCTGTCAAATCATTGATGATGATGATAGATTAAAAAATGGATTTTATAAAAGGTACATAAAAATTTTGGTGTATCTATTAGTAAAATTGCAAAATTATCAGCTGTTTTAAAAACATTTTTAATTTTAGAAAAAATATACACCTATACATCTGTTAAGAATATAATAAATTAAAAAACTAGATTCAAAAGACATTAACCAACAATAAAACTTCCTCCCCGATATTATAATAGAACAGTTAATACAAACATTTTCCTGCATATTAGAGTATAATCTTGACACAGCTTTGATAGCACTAGCATATTTTAGTTTTTTTCTTGTTGTTCTTTCATATTTAAGAGCTGTTGCTTCATATACTTTTGCCCAATATTGCCTACACTATTGTTTGTTTAAAAGTTTAAGGACCATTGTCTGGATTTATTGACTATATCTTTCAATTACCTTCCATTATTTATTAACCTATTTAGGACTTAATATTTGCTTCCCCCAAACAATGCCTAGAACCTAAGACTTTTGGTTTAAGAGGACGCCATACCGAGGAAGAAAATTTTCCTCGCAAATTCTCTTTTTCCTTCATTACTAATTTAAAATTCAAAGTGCAGAAAAAGTGACAAACCTAGAGTAAGCCATGAAGTTTCAAATACAGAAAAGAAAATTTGAAAGTATACAAATGAAAATAAATTATGAGAAGACAATTTAGGCAAAGTTCTCTTCTAATAATTTCCTTGCATTTTAATATTTTGAAGTATTTTTTTCAGCAACTTTATGGCTTACTCTAGGTATACCTGAACTTACTTTTTTCTTTCTTTGAAATTAGTAATGAAGGATAAAGAGAACGAAAATCTTCTTCTGCGCTATACCTTTTGAAGATTAAAATCTTTTGACATCAGGTTGATTGCAGTAGGCGCGACAGATCGTCATGTATAAATATCCATATTATACAAAATAAAAAGCAAATTATCACCTTATTTAAACTATTGCTTATGAGGTTTAACTACAACGTATAACTATTGACATAAACTTAACAAAACTATCATCCATAACATTTTAGTCCATTAAGAGATCTTCTGCAAATCACATAAAAAAAATTGCCTGCAAATGATTTATAAATAATATTTACAATATTATTGCAATCAAGACAAATGGAGCCACAGACAAACATTCAAAAATTTTAACCAGGTAAATTATCTATTTGTCAACTTAACATTTATTTAGCCTTTGACTGCTTTCATAAAAATATTTCTGCTGGCTCTAAAATTACTATACGAAAACCAATTTATGAAAATGGTAAATTTTTATAAGTTTCTCCTGTTAGTATGAATTTTTATTGCAGCCTACCAAATAAAATAATTAGAATAAATATGCAGCATTTTTATGACTATTATATAATAAACATAAAAATAGGGGCAATAGAAAACAGGCATTGTTAAATATAGGTGGTGAAGATTTACACAACTGTTATTTCATTCCGAAACTGAGACTGAACATCAACTTGGTCTTTGAAAATCAATTTGATTCTTTAGTTTAGTTTGTTTAAAACTAGAATCAGAAACTTTCTTTCGCAAATCAAACAATAAAACTGAAAAACTATTATTGCTAAGTTTCGCTGCTGAGATATGATAAAATTATAAATACTAAATTAGGTTTACTATGCCGAACTTAAGTAATATTTTATTGAAAACTTACAATACGCCATTACCGGAGAACGCTGTTAGCTATCTGTTGCCAAATTTATTTAAAGTTTTAATAAAATTAAATTTTTTCTAAGGAGCTATGAGCTTGAATATGCCATATTACAAAATTTACATGACAGTTTTCACTGCATTCAAATTGGTTAGCCTGCATACATCACACCAATCAGGATCTGTAATTTTGATTATCTAGGAAAAATTTAAAAAAAAAGAAAAAAAAGAGGTTCTCGTTGACTTTCTTCTATAATGAAGTGCAAAAAAGCTTTATATTTACATGCGTAGAGAATAATCTTATTCTAATTTAAAACCGGAAGAAATCTAGAAAATTTCCAGTGTATCCCTCAGTTTATGTTGGGTCCCGCAGTGGACTGATCGTTAAGACACGGTTCCCAGCAGATCACCGAAGTCAAGCATCACTGGCTACGGTCAGTGTGCGGGTGGGTGACCACTTGGATCAGTCTGCGTAGGGACCGAGGGTGTGCGGTATTGGTCCTCGTTAAACTGTGCTACCGTAAAGTGCTCGACTTCGCGCGCAGGTCGTCGGGCTACCAAAGCGGGCGTGCCATCCCATCTGCAGAGGATCAAAATTGTGATGGCATGTCTTCGGATCATCCTCCGGGATGTTTCCCAGACCGTCGCCAATAACCCATTGTGCAGCTCTAGTGCGATGTAAATTAACAACAACAACAACAACTCAGTTTATGTTGTGCTTATGGATGGTGTTTTCTACACTAGGGAACGCTGCAAGCTCGGTACCGCCTAAATTTCCGGGTTACTGTTTCCTTTGTAATTTAAAGCCATTTGGCATCATTGTGTTTTGAGATTCTTGCAAATAATGTATTTTACTACTTATTACTTATGTTTACAATGCTAACAATACTGGTGTTTACAATGCTAAAAGTGCTAACACTAACGTAAGATGGTGCACAGCTTGCAACAAGAACAAACAGTAATAAACTTATGGAAAGACGCCATATCAAGACTGCTAAAAAAGCAAGTTATTCAAAATCTAGCAACCATATCATCTTTTTTTAACAATATACAGTACACTCTCGATTATCCGTGCGCGGATTATCTGGTTTGCGGATTATCCGTGCTCATTCCGAAGTCGCACGAAAAATATAAAGAGAAACATTTTGAAGATTAAAAAAATTTGATTCATGAAGTTATAACACTACCAAATTTTTGGAAGCAATATTTGTTATTGGATTGCAGTATATGGAATATCAGCAGCATGGTCAAAGGTAAAATTGTCTACGTTATCACGATCTTGAAGAAAGATCATATCGCTTGATGAACAATCCTCTTCAGAAGTTCAAGAAAAATATAACAGTATTCTCGAACAAGCCCAGGGCCTGATTACCGAAAAGGCATAGGAAGCAAGTGCTTCCCCTGTAAAATTCCAGGGGGCCCCCAAACGACTGAAATTAAGGGCCCAATTTCTTATTTTTGAAAATGCACTAGTGACTTATAACTGCACTAGTGAACGTTCATTTTCTGTATTGAAAAGAATAAAAAATCGGTGGAGATCAACTCTTTCAAATAATAAATTAAGTAGTTTAGCCCTTTTGGGCAAAAGAGAGCGATATTACAAATAGGTTACAATTTGCAGATATTATTGAAGATTTTGCGAATTTAACAGCGAGAAAAAAACATATGTAATGGTAATAAACCTATGAATTTTCTTATTTCTTTTTGAAATCTTTTTTCTCTATCATGTGTGCTCAAATTAATTTTACTCTGCTTTTTATTGTTGAACTAAACACACAAGACTTTTAAATATCTATCAGTACGAAAAATATTTTTGTTTCATGTTTGAAAATTATTTGGTATGATTTTTCTGGTGCAGTAACAATAATTTATGCTGAATTAGAATTTTGTGTTGTTCTGCCGCTAGTAAACGAATNATTTTAAACAACCTCAAAACAAGCTGAAGTATATATAAATCAACCTCGTACACCTTAATTACAACCTTTACGAGGTATAATTTTTATTGCTGTTTTCTCTGCAACCTTAAATATACCTCAAAACCACAGTAATACCTCAAATCAACCTTAAATATACCTTAAATTTTCATAAGGGATCTGCCGTATTTCATAAGATATGTTATTATGTAATTCTGGGGAGTTTGGAGTGAAAATTTGTTTTAGTTATTTTGTTATTTATTATTAAAAAAGGTGACATGGTTGCTAGATTTTGAATAACTCGCTTTTTTGGCAGTCTTGATTTAACCTGTTTCCATAAGTTTATTACTGTTTGTTCTTGTTGCAAGCTGTGCTCCATCTTACGTTAGTGTTAACACTTTTAGCTTTGTAAACACAAGTATTGTTAGCATTGTAAACACAAGTAATAAATAATCAAATACATTGTTTACAAGAATCTCAAAACACAACGATGCCAAATTGCTTTAAAATACAACGGAAACAGTAACCCTGAAATTTAGGCGGTACCGAGCTTGTAGCGTTTCCTAGTGTAGAAAACACCATCCATTCTACGATCTAGTTTTTTGGACAATCTCCAAAAAAGACCGAGCAAGGAATAGCATAGAGGCTTAACTCACTGTCTCTTGAAATACTCTGGAGAGTTGGTGTGATTCCAATAATATGGAAGTTAAATATAACTAAATCATATTGCCTCACTTTCTCACTTATGGATCAGCCTGTCGAACCAAGTTTACTGTATAAGGACATTCAAATCCCTATATGTAATAATTTTAAATATCTGGGTGTGACGTTTAATCACAAACTAACATGGAGGCCTTACGTGGAGGACATCACCGGCCGTGCCCTGAAGATACTCAGTATCCTCAAACGCCTTGCTGGAGCAAGATGGGGTTGCACTGGACGAACCTTGCTACAGACTTATCAAATGTTTATCGTCCCTTTTTGACTTATTGCTGTGAGTCACTGATTGTGAAGGGGAAAAAGTTCTTCATTCTTTGGAAAAAAGTTCAAAATTAATCCCTGCGTATCATAACTGGGGCGGTAAAGACTACTCCGATTGATGCTATGCTTTTGGCGACTGATGTTAGACCATTGCAATCTGTAGTTCAGGAGAAAGATATAATTCTCTGGGAAAAGATCATCAGAGTCCCTGGTTGCTCTTCACTTTGGAATGAGGCCAACCGGGACCTAAATAGAAATTTAAAGACTAAAAGGGGCTTTCTTCAGGGAGTTTAACGCTTGAAAAATACTCTTAGAATAAATTATGGCCCTGAATATCTTGTTCCAACCCAAAATCCAATAAATTTGAAGCATTTCCAAACAAAGTGTAAATAAACGCAATGTAAATAAACGCACGGTAAATAAACGCTTCTTTTTTTATAAAACAAAGTGTAAATAAACGCAAGGGGGTGCACTTGCACCCCCTGGCCTTTTTTTAATCAATTAAAGAGATACAGAAAAACAATTTTGTTATAAAAAATTTTTATTAAAAATATTTTTATTAAGAAACAAATAATTAAGTAATTAATAATATATAACAATTAAAAAATTGTTTAATCAAACAAGAATTGTAATAGTCCTGTTTGCTGTCCAAATCTGTTTATAACTTTTTCAATGAATTCTGAGTAAACTTTGATTCTTTTCTTATGCACACTGAGCATGCATGCACAAGCTTGGCAGATATCTAAGCTATATTTTTAAGTTTCATTTAATAAAAGATAAATAATATTATATTTTCCATTACTTATTTAGTTTAACAAAGGTGTATAACACAAACTGACTTCTCACAACTGTAAAACTTCGTCAACACAGTAAATACCAATGTTAAGCGTACACAAACACGTTAGCATACGAAACTACTGTTTTTAGTTATTTGTGTTTCAAAGTCAGTAGCTATGCCAGCGCCATCAATACAGTTTCTCTTGGCAAAATTTGCAATTACAAGAAATTCGTACTTTTTTAAAATATCTTGTTAACAATGAAGAAATGTATCTTGAAAAATATTAACAGATGAAAGTATATGTAACAACAAAACAAAATGTGATAACAGAATATTGAAAAAAAAAGTTTTTTTTTGGGGGGGGGAGGTTGTTTGTTAGAGGGTTGCACCCCCTTTTATATTATTCTGACGGCGCCCTTGTATTGAGCTCTTACTACCCTGAGCCAGAGTTGCTTCGGATCTACTCCGACGGATCCCTCCTACTAGACAATCCTAATGCTGGTGCCGGAGTTTTCTCCGAGGCTTTTATTCTTTTACGCTCCTGTGAGAAAGGGATCTGCTTTTGATGGAGAGATAACTGCAATCCGAATAGCTCTGTCCAGTTACAGTATCATATCGATTTTTTTTGAGTGACTCAAGAGCTGCTTTGCTTGCCATTGCATCCTTAAATGATCCCTTAACTCGAGATATTTTGGATTGCCGCCTCCAACTTGAATACCTTAGCATCCCTTAAGAAAACCATTGTTCTCCAGTGGGTTCCTGCCCATTGCGGGGTTACGGGTAATGAAAATGCAGGCTACTTAGCAAAAAAGGGGGCCTTAATTATTCAAACTTCTGCGCATCTTATGCCCTTCCGTTCCATCGAGCAGCTTATTAAGACGAACTTTAGGACCTGTGCTCATGAAGAGCTTATCGACCGTACTTCTACTAAGTCTTGGTCGGCTAGCATCCAAAATTTGCGAAATGACCCATGACGAAGAGTGGTGGTTGAATTCCGCTTGGCCACTGGTCATGACTGTTTGCAGAAACATCTGTCTAGATTTGATATCGTTCCTTCCCCGGTATGCATTCTTTGCAGTTCTGGTAAAAACATGGACTCCACGCACCTTCTCCGCTGCTCTGCACTTTGCAAGAATTCTATCACTGAATGCTATTGGGAAGCTAGAGACATGTTGTGATTAATAGACTTTGTTGCAGCATCTTTTGTTTCTGTTCTTATTTTTATTCGATGCTTATGTATGCTGTTACTGTCTATAATCTGCCATTGGAAATAAAATAAAAATATTGAAAACACAACAAGTATAATAATGTAGGACGGGGCGTTTTTTTTCTTCTAGATTAGGCATAAAAATCAGTCGGAAGTAACAAACCGGA